TAAATGTCTTTTTCTCCCTCACTGTGTTTAAAATATTGGAAGGTGGCTTTTTGGGGGGGGGGTATAAGATTTGGTTTATGGGAAAGCTGACCTCACTGATCAAGTTTGCATTAACCGCCAAGACGATTAGGACTTCCATGCCTGAAGTTTCTTGCAAGCTAGGGACACTGTGGGGGTTAAAGAGAAGTCAATATGGCAGCTGTGATCAAAATCCTTTTATTGTGGCAATTTTGTTTCTCTCTCATTTATAACTCTCTAGAACTTTTGGGGTAATTTCAGTTCTAATTAAAATCCATCTATGTCATTATCGTTCAAGGGTGATGGATGTAAAAGGAGGGCATATCCCTGTCACAGGCTACCAGAGGTATGTTTACAAATGAAAATCTGCTGCCTATCTTTCTTTGATAAATGTGAATTGACAGAGCTTGCGAGAGGTTTTAATTTCCTGCCTTCTTCTGTACTAGCCTAAACTGAACTGGGTGTGGTTTCACATAGCATGATGGATAAAGCCATCTTAAGGGAGAAAAACCACCATGATTTGCAAATTGCAGTATACAGGCTTGCACATCATCAACCCAAAGTTCTGCCTACCTCGTTTTAAAAGTACATTTACCCAGTTTCAGCATTTCCCTGTCTACCCTTTACATGACGCTGAGCAAGGCAGGAAACGGTGCTGAAGAGAAATACAGGGGATAGTACATTGTGTAAGAACGGGCTTTATTAAAACTGACAACCACAGTTGACTTCTACACCAACTTAATACTGCTTAGCATGGTTACAGACTAAAGAGCCCTAGAGACAGATATTGTGACAAGACAGATTAATAATGGATAACAAATGAATTCACAGCACTGGTGCCTGTTGGGATGTGTGACTGTACAGTAAGCAAATACAATGCCTCTACAAAAAGATGGGTTCTCCCATATTAACTGGATAGTGAGGCTAGATTACTTATGATACCTTCTGGCAGCTTAAGATGCAGAATTAATTGGGGGAATTCTGGGAGTTGAAGTCCACTCATCTTAAAGTGGCCAAGTTTGGACAACACTGGCTTAGGAGCTACCTTGACAGACAAAGATGGGGTGGGCACTTTAGGCTAGCGTGTTTGCAACTTGCTCTATGAAACTGGCCAAGTTGATGTCCCGCTCAGATAAGCCAGCACACTCGTGCGTGCTTAAGGTTATATGAACCTGAAAGAAACAAAACGTCTAATTAGTACAGCAGTTATGAGAATGCAGATACTTGGAAGAGCTAAAAGGTCCATTTTTTAAGTGCAGACTGATAGACATTCATTCATTCATTCATTCATTCATTCATTCATTCATTCATTCATTCATTCATTCATTCACCATTGGCCTCAGTGCATATCAATGAAATTTAAAACAGTCTGTGCCATCAGGATTAGGGAACTGTGTCACTGTGGTATAGAAGGCTTTTTTTAAAGAGTTGCATTGCAATTGATAGATTGATCTACTTCAAATGCAAGATGAGACCCTCCTTCCATATAAACTGTGGGCCAATCTACAATTTATGCTGGAACCATGCCCCCCTCCTCCTTTTGCTGCATTATAAAAAGATGGGTGGTTGCCTTTTAACTCTTCCCTATAAAGCTTCTTCCCCTACCCTGAATACCACACGTTTGTGGAATGAACACTTCTGATAAGGCTTAAATACCCCCCCCCCCATTTTGCACAAATGTAATCTCTTATGGGTTTGGACAGCTAGAATAGTGTAAGCACTATGGATTGGATGGACCTATGCCACAATTGGCTTATAGTTAAAATAACTGTATCTAAGCTTGAACAGAGAGCCAGATTAGTGGTGTGATAAAAGGCATCAGGCTAGAAATTGGGAAACCATGAGGCATGAAACCAGGTCACTCTCTTTCAGACCTAGGAAGAAGGCAATGGAAAACTACTTCCAAAACACATTGCCAATTAAACTGCGAGAATGACTCAAAGGCAAAAAAAAAAGTTTGAACAACTCTTATGTCTTACTTTGTTGTAAACATTAAACCATTCAGGATGATGATCCAGTTTTTCTGCTTGTAGAGCTACTCTGGTCATAAATCCAAAGGCCTGTTCAAAAGATGAAAGAGGAGATTTAGAAAAGGACAGAAGCAAAGAAGTGAAACTACACAGATTCCACTGTTAAACCATATAAGCTAGTTATTAGTATTGCTGCAACTGAAGAGTACACTGCACGAATCACACAACTAGGGGTCTATCAGTATACTTGGGTGCACTATCCAAGGACGGCTTTTGGTTTCAGTTCAGAGTGAGGCAGACTTACTGCACAAGGAACTAAAGCTTCCAGCTTACACAGCCAGTGGTGCAGGTTGCTGGGAGTTGTAATTCTGTAACATCTGGAAGCCTATTGCAGGAATTGAAACAGGTAGTCCTGGACTTAGGGCCATTTGTTCAGTGACTGTTCAAAGTTATGACGGTGGTGAACAAGGGGTGCTTATGACAGGTCCTTATACTTGTGGCTGTCGCAGCATCCCCATGAGCATGTGATCGTGATCCGGGTGCTTGGCAACCAGCTCACAATTACGTCACAGCATCCCGCAGGTATGTGATCACCATTCACAACCTTCACTGCCAGCTTCTGACAAGCAAAGTCAATGGGGAAGCTGGCAGGAGGTTGTGAATGATGATCACGTGACTGTGGGACTCTGCAACTGTGTGGGATTCACCTAATGACAGCAACTGGGACTGCCACAACGGCTGTTGTAAGTCAGCATGGTCACATGATGTGCCTTATGACCACGTTGCTTAGCAACAGAGTTCCTGGTCCCAATTATCATTGGTAAGTGAGGACTACCTGTACAGCCATTAAAAAAAAAAAAAGTTTAAATACTCCTTTTATCTGCATTCACACCATTGTGCAAAATTACATGCAGCTTTTGAAAAGGTTACTGATCCTTACATTAATAGAAGGAATGGTTTTAGAAAATTAAAGCCACCTAAAAGTTTGAAGGAGCATCAGCAGTATCATATTGCTTGAAAGAATACTTAAAATTTGCAGTATAACCCAGAAATGATCAAGTCACTGGTAAGGTTCTTTTTAATTCAGGAGAGAGGTTTGCTGTGCTAGATAGAAATACTTGTTTTTAATGTACAGTTTTGTGGGGTTCTGTTTGGTTTTGGTTTAAATGCCAACAGGATCTGCTGGCAAGAGTGATACGTCTTAGAATCACAGCTGTTATGGGGAGGAGTTCAATCCTTTTCTCCTCATCTCCAAAAGAAAATTCGTCCTATGCAGTTACGACTTCCATAAACAGAAGGGTGCAAACAGGTGAGTGAGTGGGATTGCCAGACCCAAGCAGATGTTTGAGTTGAGCTTTTCCTGACAAGCACAACAGAAAAAAGAAAAATCAGTGCGCCATCCTTGATTCCAGTCATTGGCATCCTCTCCAACCTTTTGGAATGGAGTGGAAAAATAATTAATAGGTGGGCCTGAGGCTATTTGCATTTGAATCCAAGGTACATTCAGACAGCAAATGGGGATGGATTTCAGAGCCACTCTTTGCAGTTCTAGGTCTCTAGGAAGCAGTTGTAGCACCAACAGGTAGAGCTACACTCCCTTTCCTCTACCGCAGGAGAATAAGCAATCTTGCAGTCCTGCATAAAGAGAAGCGCTAGTGAGTATTAACCTGTGCACCTGCTTACACATGTCAGAGCTGTGGCACTGCAGTGTTGGGAATAGGTATCTTCCCAGCTATATTGTGTCCACTGCACCTGTGCTGAGCCTAATATTAAGCATTGTTCCCAACTCGTGCATAAGGCTGACTTTCTTGGAATGAAAGTGCTTTTGTACCCGATTGAAGTCCTTGAAATGGAACTCCTTGTAGATAGCATCTCTGCCTTCCACCTCGTTCCATCCTACCGCTCTGAGATTTGGCAGGAGCTGTTCTCTCTCTTCACCGCTCAGTCGGTGGGCTTTTCCTGCCTAGGAGGACAAAATGGAGAAAGCAGGTGCAACAGACATCTAGGTAAATCTGCTCCAAGCATGAAGAACAAGTCTACGTAGAACTTATTTTCAAATGTATCTAGGGCATCTAGAATCTAGGGATTTTTTTAGTCTTCAGGAGTCACCCTTGTGAACAGCTTGTGATCACCCTTGTGATCACCCTACCAGATAAATACAGAGATTGCAAACTTACAGCACTGCAACCTTCCCTAACTGGGGAGGTGATGGGAGGTGTAGTCCAACACATATAGAAGGCACAAGTTGGGAAAAAGTTATGCTTCTACATTGGTTCCAAAAGTTCTTCCACACAGGCACATCACACTGAGAGTTGAAATCTTCATGCAAAGACATCCAGGCCTGATTTCGCCACATGTAACTCTTGTTCAAAGTAAATACGGATTGTGGGAAAGTTCAACAAACTGTAGTGCTTTGCTCCTTTGTTTGTCTCAATGGTAGGGACATGATGGTTCTCACTTGTTTTTATTAAACTGTTGGGATCCTGTTTAATCTAGGTGAAATGTACGTTTCATTTTGTCTAGGTATCCATTTGCATTACTATCCACTAATAAACGTTATTAACTTTTGTTATTTGAAATCCAAGAAAATAAGCAGCTTCTATTTTGGGGAGGAACAGTATATGCAAGAAGGTTTGTATCAATACAAAAACCATCCCATCATTTATGGTCCTTTCTTGGAAGCAGTTAACATACACTAGACCACCTTGTTGGGGTCTGTTAATGACATAACTGTGGCCACTAATTCGATGGCAAATATGTTGTCGAACAGAATGTTGAAAAGTTGCCATCCAGCAGAAAAATCTAACTGGTCATTTTCACTGCTCAGTTCTACATGCAGAGATCGTCTTTACTGCATGGTCATGCTAAGTTCTAATGCCACGAGCCATGATCAACTGCTGTGATAATTTACACTGTACACTGTAATTTACACTGTATTCAGTTTGTAAGTTAGTTGCAGTGGGAGGCTGAGGTTGAGGGAAAGCATGAAAAGCAGAGTGCTCATCCCAGGGAAATAGTTAACTAAAAGGCACCTTATGTTTATATATATGGGAAAAACCAAATCTTAATAAACAGCTTCTTCCTCGGTTAATGGTTAAAGGCTATTGCATCATTAAACACTGTGCTTTAAACTTCTATGGATACTAGGAGGAACAGATGGTGATAAATAGAAACATGCCAGAAGCTCTTACTATTTGCCATACTGTTAGTTTCCTTTGAAGGGCAATTGTTGTGCAACAGTTCTGAAACTTTATGATGAATGTTAATGCAAGGCAAAGAAAATGGGGGAAAAAGAATAATTCAGTCTAGATCCAACTCAACATTTTATGAGTTTCTGCTTTGAGGATTCTAGAATCCAGCTGAATTTATTCCAGTCTTGGCCTTCATGGATGGGATAGATTCATTCTGCTATACCCCACCTAGCAAGATAATTGTGTGTGTGTGTGTGTGTGTGTGTGTGTTTATATATGGTTTCAAAGTGATAGTAGGACACCAATAAGCATCTGGAAAATCTGTAGACTGCTCGATTTAGCGATTTAGAGCAATACATTCATAATTCTAGTGAAGAAACTAAATTCATAATTCTAAAAGAAGGCCTCTATGGAAATTTTATTGATCTATAGCATCCTACAGAATATTTAGGAAGTTCCCCAAAGGATTTCCTTGTATGTTTCTCCCAAAACCTCACTTTCATCCTCCTTGTGTATGCTAAGTACAGCATTTTAGTGAATTGAAATCACCCAGGGTAAACACTGTCCAACAAAATAAATCTCCAGCCACTGCCCTTTTAGTGAGATCACCTGATAAACCTGTCGCTGGTATCTTAGCGACACTGATAAGGCTTTTAGAGAAATGAGACAGAGAAGGTTTATGTCTGCCTTTGATCCTGCCCATGCTTTTATTACTGGATAACTAAAAGCCAGGCAATGAAAAAAAAATGGGGAGGGTCAATATCATAAGCATGGATTTCACGATAAATTGTGCTCCACATAAGACTGAAGTCAATGTGTTCCAGATACCACATAACATTCTGAACCTTGTCATCTATCTTCGCACATATCAAATGCGGCAGCTCTTTTCTTGACTTTGCATTGGTTAAATTAGTTTATTAGTATTAAACCAATTTAATATCAATGTTAATCTTTTTAGTAAGCCTCCCTATTGGAGAACAAGTTAAGTCCAGCCGTGAAATTGCACCACAATTTTTCAAGCTGTAGGCTGACCCATGATCAAGATGGATAAACTAGGGATGAATAAAAGGAATACCTTGATTTGTTAAAGAGTTTTTTTCAGGTGAACAATCTTTCCATACAATACAAAGAACTGATTTTAAAGGGATAGGTTCTGAGTTCATTCGGTATGGGGTGATAAGGCAATCATCTTAGATAGTGATAGAAGTCACCACCCCAGCAAGTCCTTTGGTAGATGTCTACCAAGGATCCAGAGATTTTGAATTAAGCTTCCCAAAATTCCACAGGTCGTGCTGGCTGTTGAAGTCCAACATACATAGAAGGCACTGCCAGGTATGAATGTAAACTTGGAATAGGGACAGAAACAATGTCCCCTCAATGGGCTGAGCCCCCATTCTGGGCTACTAAGCCAAGTGGTGTGATCAGGTTCCCACAAGCACCAACTCAGCAGAGAACAGTATGGTTGAAGCCCTGTTTCCCTCCAAGGCTGTGTGCCCCAACTCTCCATACAGCACTAACAATAATCGAAATGCCATTTCTCTTGATTTGTATTTTCCCCTGTGATACGAAGAATTTTCTGGATGCTATTATTTGCTTGCTATTACCTGCCTAGCCCAGCACCCCTTGACAAGCCTATGCCTTTGTCACCAAGTTGCCAATCCCTGAATCAGAAATGTAGTTAACAGCATTTGACTCACGTGGGGTCCAAAGAGAGAAGTGTTTTACTTTCATTTGCAGGCTCAAAGTTCATTACAAAGCTTCTGTATTCCCAGTGCTAACAGCCACAACCTGACGTTTTCCCCACCAATCTCCCTGCCAATCCCCACCAAAGAGTTAGTTTGGTCTAGTGGTGAAGGCACAAGGCTAGAAAGCAGAGACTGTGAGTTCTAATCCCGCCTTAAGCATGAAAGCTGGTTGTTGATTTTGGGCCAGTCACTCTCTCTCAGCCCAACTCACCTCACAGGGTTATTGCGGGGAAAACAGGAGGAGGAAGGAGCGTTATTTAGTTTAGCTTTAGTTATTTATAAAAATAATAAATGCGGGATAAAAAAAAATCAAATCCAATTGCATGCACAGTCTTCTTTCCCTGGTTAAGATTTCATTTTTAAAGACGTCTGAAACATCTTGCCATATGTGACTTTTCTTGCAATGCGTGCCACTAAATATTGCACATATGTTTAAAAGAACACATGAAACCAGTTACAGCAGGCTGCAGAAAATACTTAAGCGAGGAGGAGGCCAGCTCAAGAGCGGATTTCGTTTTCTAGGTTCCAGACCCCGAGAAAAACAACAGAGGCCCAGAAGATCTGCTCTCGCCTACAAGAGAAAGCAACTGGGAATTTACCCAAGGCATAGCAACCCCTTTCTGGCTTCAGCTGGGGCAACGTTAATATTACCCATCTCCCTTAAACTTTACAATACGAAATTATGTCTGAACATGCCCCCCCCCCCAACATCCTAGAAAACAGCTGGCTCTTCCTGGAAGCTTTGCCACACAACGCCTGTCAGATTAATCCCCTTGGTCAGACGAAGGGCGGCTGCGGTTTGATACGACGCCTACCGGCGCGTTTTCACACTGGCTAGTCCGCCCACCCTCCTGCCTTTCAGGAGGAAGGTTATAGCCGGAGATCCGCCGCTCTTCCCAGAGAGCTCATGAAACCTATGCAGCGAGAGATTAGACGGACGGACGCACAGCCCCAGTTCCAAGCAACCACTGCAGACTCGATCTCGATCGTTTCCCTCTCACAGGACGGCGCGCTGGGCTGGGATTAAGAATTAACCGGGGCGCCGGCAGCTG